AACAACTCTCCAGTGATACCATAATTATATATAGTAAATATTCCTCCAATCCTTCCCCAAAGGAATCTGCTGTCATTTACCAGGATAACTGTGCATTGGAAAAAGGACAATATTCAGAATATTGAAAGATTGTTAAAGAAATGGAGTCTGAATTGACACAAAACAGAGTTCTCTGGCTAGAGCAGGGAGTAAAGGAGCGCAGGTGATATAGATGGAGTTTACTCTAAGTCCAATGGGTCCCAAAGAAGCTGACAGAATCCTTTCATTGATTCCACGATCTGCAGAGTAAAGGCTATAATGGTAGGAAAAGCCAAGCAGAAGCTCCTGAAACTCCCTGTATTACAGTTCTCCAAAGAAACAGAGAACCAATAGGATGTGTACATATATGGTAAGGGAGTGATTTATTTTAAGGAATTAGCTCATGCAATTGTGGAGGCCGGCAAGTGCACAATCTGCAGGGTAGGCTGGCCATTTGGCGACCCAGGGAAGAATTGATGTTACAGCTTGAGCCCGAAGGCGGACGGCAGGCAGAATTCCCTCTTCCAAGGGGGAGTCAGGATTTTTTAGCTCTTAAGGCTTTTAACTGACTGAATGAGGCTCACCCACATTATGGAAGGTAATCTTCTTTACTGAAAGTGTACTGATTTAAATATAAATCTCATGTAAAAACTAACTCACAGCAACATCTAGAGTAGCATTTGACCAAATATCCAGGTACTGTGGCCTAGCCAAGTTAACACATAAAATTAACCATTACACTGCCCTACAGCTGATTTGTGCAGTATTATTATTATTTTTATTTTTATTTTTGCTGTACGCGGGCCTCTCACTGCTGTGGCCTCTCCCGTTGCGGAGCACAGACTCCGGATGCGCAGGCTCAGCGGCCATGGCTCACGGGTCCAGCCGCTCCGCGGCATGTGGGATCTTCCCGGACCGGGGCAGGAACCCGTGTCCCCTGCATCGGCAGGCGGACTCTCAACCACTGCGCCACCAGGGAAGCCCTGTGCAGTATTATTTCTGATCTAATACTTTAGCTGAGCTTGGATTCCCCATGGTATCCCCATTCAATTCACCTGTCTGGCCTCTAGGAAAACAGATGGATCAGGTAGAAGATGGATAGATCACTGTGAACTTAACCTTGTGATATAGCCCCATTCAGAGCTGTTCTCCTGGATGTGGTATCTTTACTAGAGCATATCAGCACAATCTTGAACACTTGTGTGTGGTTATTGATTCAGCAAATGCTTTCTTTTCAATACCCAAGAGAAGAGATGATCAAAGGCGGTTAGTTTGCCTTTACATCACAATATGCCAGTGAGAGCACCTTCACTCTCTCCCCTCAGGGCTTTGTTAACTTTCCAGCTCTCTGTTATCTATAGTCTTTAGGGAACTTGATCACCTTGACATCCCACAGAATGTCATATTGGTCCACTATATTGATGACATCATGCTCATTGGACATGCAAAGGAAATGGTAAGCACCATATTTGCCAGAGAGTGGAAGATAAATTGCATGAAGATTCATGGTCCTGCCACACTGGGAATATTTTCAGGGGTTCAGTGGTTTGGGGCATGCCAGGACAAGTTATCTCACCTCACATATCTCAGAAAAATGCACGGTTTTTGGTGGGCCTCTTTAGATTTTGGAGACAGAATAGACACGCTTAGAGCTGCATTTCCAGCCCTTTATTAGGTGACCTGGAAAGCTGCCAATTCTGAGTGGTGCCCAGACCAACAGAGGACTGTAGAGCAGGTTCAGATCATAAAACAGGCAATGCGGCCACTTTGGATTATATGATCCTGCAGATACAATGTTGCTTGAGGAATCTGTGGTGGATAAAGTTTCTGTGGGGAGTCTCTGAAAGCTCAAATAGGAGAGCTGCAATGAGGACCCCTAGGATTCTGGAGTAAGGCCATAATTACCATGGTCCATTTGAACAAAAAGGTTCTGATGTGTCACTGGTCCCCAGTAAGTGACTGAGCATGTGACCACCAGATGTCAGGTGGCTGTATGTCTAAAGCTAGATGTTATCAGTTGGGCACAGCAGCAATCCAATATGATGGAAGTGGTACATTCAGGGCTGGGCTCAAAGAGTTCAGAGGCATGAGTAAATCAAATGAACAGGCAGCTCAGACTCCCATGGCATCTAACTCTGTTGATCTGACACCTCTGCTTTAATTCATACCTATAGCCTCATGGAAGGTTCCCTATAGCAAATTGATAAAGGAGGAAGGGAGTAGAAGCCAATTTACACACAAGTCAGTATAGGCACAAGCTGGAAGTGGACCACTCTATTACAACCCCAAGTGGGGGTAGCCCTGAAGGACGGCAGTAAACTCCCTGGGGGCAAAACTCCAAGCAATATACTTTGTCCTTCCTTTTGTACGGAGGAAGATATGACTGAAGCACTGATATACACTAATTCCTAATAAATGGCAAATGGCTTGGCTAGTTGGTCAAGGGCATGGAAAGAGAAAGAGCAGAATTTCAGAGACAAGCAGGTCTGGGTAAGGGGCACATAGATGAACTTATCGGAGTGGGTGCAAAGTATGCAGATCTTGTGTCTCACATTAATGCTCACCAGAGACCATCGAGGCTCTCCAGCCAGATGGCCAAATATCCCATCTTATGGATGTCAGCCAGCCTCTAAAGTTAGCCACCCTGTTGCTTTGCAAAAGACCCATAAAAGGGTGGCCATAGTGGCAAGGATGGAGGCTATGAATGGACCCAACAACTTGGGCTCCCTTTCATCGAGGCTGATCTGACAACGGCCAGCAATTAGTCAACCAGCCAGCAGCAGGCAGCAGCATAGAAACATTGGTCAGGGAGGGCAGCCAGCCCCCCGTGGGCAGGTCAATTTTATCAACCCCCTTCCACCTTGCAGAAAGCAATGATTCATCCTTACGGGAATTATGTACTCCAAATATGGTTTGCATTTCTAGTTCTGCAAGCATCGCCATCCAAAGGTTGAAAGGATGCTCAATCCATTACCCAGAGCGAGAAGACTCATTTTATGGCAAAGGATATGTGACAATGGCCTCATGAACATGGGCTTCACTGGTCTTACCATATGCTCATCACCCAGAAGCAGCCAGCCTGTGAGAACAATGGAATGGAGTGATTTCGTTTCCGCAAGTTTTAATCTCCTCTTCTGCAAAATAGGATTATAAACAGTTCTAGTACTTGACAAGACTGTTGTGGGATCGGATCTCTTTCTTGGCCCTTGTATGCCGCAAGTGCTCAATAAGTGGTAGGCATTATTATTAATTGAATTAAACTGTGAAAGACCTTCTGCCCCCAGGAGGAGCTGGTGATCGGGCTTCACTAAGCCCAGTAGGACTGTGGATCTCACTCTAGTTTGACCTGCTTTGAATACTCTTAGCTATTCGGAAAGTCTCCGACTTGAATTATACTTTTTGGCCAGTAGGCAGCTCAGCAGAGACCGTTGTCACTGAGCAGAGCTGGAGGGGAAGAGAGAAGATTACGCAGAGCTCAGGAAACCAAAACTGGAAACTCTGACAGGGATTGGCCACCTGGGGGCAATCTGAAAGGGCTATAAAACAGGAGCCTAAGAGCTGTTACCTCACTGCTGTTCCCGTCTATCAGCAGGTCTGCCAGGCTGCCTGCCCTTGAGGCTCATGCCATGAGAGCCGGGATGCCCATTCTTCAGGGAGTCTACACCCCTGAGTGCCCTGGACTCAGAGTGGTCTGAGGGGATGTGTTGGTGGGCTTTTAGGGGGTTGGGTTGCAAAACCCCAAGAGTCATGAAACTTAGTTTATAGGTGCCATGTCAGTAGTCTCTGGCCTTAACCCTGCCACTTCACCTCCTTGGGCTTTAGTTCCTCATCTGTAAAAGGGAATCAAGCTACTTTACCTGCCCAAAGGACTGGACGATTTCTGAAACCCCTTTATTGCAGAATCTAATGTGACAGTGAGTTTATCTTTGAGGATAGATGAAGTGATCTGAAGTAGATATTCAAAGTGTGGGTTTGGGCATTAGTCAATTGTGGCTTTAAATCCTGACTGCTACTCCCTAGTTTAGCAGGCTTGGGATTACTACATTTCTGAACTTCAGTTTCCTTTCTATAACGTGTGGTTTAGAACAATGGTACCTACTTTATGGGGTTGCTATGGGTATAGATAACCTTGTGCCATAAGGTGCTGAGTAAGTGCTCAGTAGAGGGGAAGTTGTTTGGGTTTGTTTTCAATTCAAGGAAAATGCTTTGAGCGGACAAAGTTCACATTAGAGGTGAGTTGTGGTGGGGGAAGGGAAGTGTGTTTCTATTTTGCTTTGTAATGGAAAGAGCATAGGTTTTGGATTCTGCAGTCTTGAGTTTGTGTCTAGGCTGCACAATTTCTTGTGTGACCCTGGGCAAGCTCCTTTACCCCTCTCTGCTTTCTTTGTGAGAAAGGAAGTTGATGTGAAGCCAGTGTTTGGGGCCTGTAAATATTCAATGCATTGGGAGAATAAATCTATCAACAACCATCGTTTAGAAAATTCTGTGTGACAGGCACTGTTCTAACTGCTAGGGATATAGTGGTGAACAGTTGCAAAACTCACAGCCACCCTCCGAAATAGGCTTTATTAATAGGCCCACCTTAGGGATAAGGAAACAGGCTCAAAGAAGTCCCAGGTATCCTGCTTAAGACAAAACCAGACAAAGCCAGAAACAGAAACCACAGTAATGATACTAGCTGACTTCCGCTGAGTGCGCAGTGCACGCCAGGCACTGTACCAGAGAGGATTCCATCCTGTAATTCTCATAACCACCGGTGTGGCAGGAACATCAGCCCGCTGGTGCCGTGAGGAAACGGAAAGCCTGCGGCTCCTTAGAGGGGTCCTGGGCTCAGTCCAGAGCATCTTGCTGCTTTTTGTGGACTCATCCTCGAATCGAAAGGGAATACAATAGAGCGGGAGTGGCTCCAATAGGGCTCTGGGGACCGTCTCTTCCCTCTCCCCCATCCCAAGTACGGCGACAAAGCCTTGCGCTGTGCCACCATGCGGCAGAAGGCGGTATCGCTCGTCTTGTGCTACCTGCTACTCAACACCTGCGGCTGCGAGGAGACAGGTAAGGATCCTGGGGCACCTGGGGACTCTGGGATAAAGAAGCGGAGAGTTTCAGGATCCCTGGTTTCGAGACCCAGGCGTGCCTCTGAACGAGAGAAGCTATTCCAATGGACAGCGCGGCGCGGGATCCCTGTAGCTAGAGTTCCAGATTCGAATCCCTGCTCTGTCAATTCTTCCATTCTCCCTAAATGAGTTCATGCCAGTTCTGTACCAGGCAGAGCGCCCTGGGAAAAGGCTCTCCGAAATGGGAGGATGGTGGCCCCACCTCCGGAGGTGGTCCGGAGCATCAGGCACAGAGTAGGGGGACCCTGCTCCCCACTGGACATTGTCCACTCTCCTTCCAGACGAAAGGGACTCCGGGTTCTGGGGCACGCTGACCTGCATGGCCGTCGGAGGAGGTGGGTCTGGAGGGCGGGGAGCCCCGGAAGGTGGGGCGGGCCCTGCTGCTGGCGTCCCTCATCGCTTCCTCTTCCTCCAGGGCTCATGGCCATGGCGCTGCCCGCGCTGGGCTTCACGAGCACAGGTATCGCCGCCAACTCGGTGGCTGCCTCGCTGATGAGCTGGTCGGCCGTGGCGAACGGGGGCGGAGTGCCCGCCGGGGGGCTGGTGGCCACGCTGCAGAGCCTGGGTGAGTGCGGGCGGGCCCAGGTGGCCCTCTTTTCTGTCCTGAGCCCTTTTCACAGGCTAACTCAGCTCCACTAGGTGGGGCTTCTTCTAATCCCCACCACTCAATGGGGAAACTGAGGCACCCAGGGATTAAGGAATTTACTCAAATTCTCCCGTATAGTTATAGCACCACGGGCAGGATTCAAACCCAGTCAGGCTGCTCTTCTGGTTTTCAGACTTTAAGGCCAGAGCCTTCCTAATGCTTTGGCCAAGTCACAAGTCTCTCAGTTTCCTCATGCGTTAACCAGGATAAACATCCTCAATTTAACATTTTATGAATCTCCTCAATCTCAGAGAACCAGAGTGGCAAAGAAATGTGGTGAAGCGACCTAATTCAATCTCATACTAACCCTGGTCTTGCATTTCTTGAACATCATGAAGGGGATGGATACAGAGCACAGAATGGTGCTTCTAAAAAACGTGCTTTCACCTCTCTCTCTCTCTCTCTCTCTCTTTCATCCAGCCCTTTGTTTTTTTTTTTCTCTCCCCCTCTGAGGCGTCCAAAATCCTACAGAAAAACCACCCCTGACAAACTGCCCCTCTGCCTTTCTGAACCCTCCATCTTCCCTCAGTTCTGGATGGCAAAAGCCCAAAGAACCAGCCCAAAAGGACACAGCCCTTCTCAGAGGGGGCAGAGAGGAAGACACAGACCAGGCTGCACCCCAGCAGCGAGAGGTGAAGGGTGTGGGCAAGGCTAGAAACAGTCCTGTGCTATAAGATGGTTGTTCTCTCACCAACTGTATTTGCTTTACAGGGGCTAGCGGTGGCAGTGCCCTCATGGCCAAGATTGGGGCCCTTCTGGGCTATACTGTCCACAAGCAAATCGAAAGCAGAGGGAAGGAGAGAGCGGATGAGGAGTAGCTAGCAGCTCCCTGGACCCCCCTCCTTCCTCCTTGTCTTCCTTTTCCAGCTGCAATCCAGAGGTTCCTCTTTCACACTTGGCAATGACCTAGGTAAAAAAACAGAATAAACGTCACTCAGAAAACACTCTGTCCTGCTGTGAGTTGTGCTGGCTATGAGAAGCCCAACAAGATCTGGCTCTGGGCTGCCTCATCCACACACCCCACCCGCATTTCCCCCAAAGGCCATCACAGCTCCTGGAGCAAAACTAGCTGATTTTGCCTCTGAGCCTTGGCGTATTCTGTTCTCTCTGCCTAGAATGTCCTTCTGAAGCTCATAACCCAGCTCAGACATCTCCTCCTCCGGGACTCCTTCCCACCAGAGCTGCTACTCCTGTCACAGCCTGAATGCTCAGGCTCTATTTCTCAGGGTTCCTGGGGAGGCAGATTCTTTCTGTTTTCGGTGAGAGAAGTTTTCAGCTACTCCCCTGATTGGGCAGAGATGGAGAAGTCAGATCTCCATTCTCCAAAGAAGTGCTAGAGTGGCCTCCCTCGGGAGGAGGATAGAAGGCCAGACATTTGTCTTGGGGAAACGGTGTAACAGCATCTTTTGGGGGGTCAACAAGGCCTCCCTTCCCTCAGAAAACTCTGGGGACAGGGTAGACAGTTTTCATCTGGAGCCTACATGCCTTCTGAGGGGGAAGGGAAGGCCAAGCCCTTGGGAGGATCTGAGGTTTGGGAGGCCTGTTCAGTGAACCAGAGTGCCAGGACCTAGGCAGGGAGAGGGCAAAAAGGCCCTGGAAATTGTTTGGTAGTAATGCTAGGGCTGGTTCTAGCACCAATCGTGCTGTGGTTCTGGTCTGAGTGGGTGCACCAGCCTCGATGCCAGACCAGCCTTCTAGAGAGATCTGCACCCCTGGGAAGTGGCCATGTGTGAACTACAAAAGCTGGTCACTAAAGGGCCAAGCCAGCTGTCCTCAGGCCTCCCCCACCCAGCCCCACTTCTAATCCAGAATTTCTTCTTCGATTACAAATGTATGGAGGTGGGTAAGAGGCTCCTTCGTGCTTGCTCCCGTCCCCAGGTCCAGCGCCACCCCTGCAGGTGGCAATGGTTTGCCTCAGCTGGCTTGCCTCAGGCCCCCAGAGAAGCAGTGTTTGTGGAAGAGGGGACACAGGTGGTGGAGGCACCATCTGCACCTCAAACACTGTCTCCACAGCTTGTGTCCAAGAGCGGAAGCTGAGCTGAGTCCCCTGCCCTGATAATCACCACTGGGCCTCAGCTGAGTCCTGCCTTGGTTCGGGCCATTCACTGAGGGGCAGATGGAGTGGACTTCTGCCCAGGAGGGGATGGGGTCTCAAGCATCACACTCTCCCAGGCCTGGTAATTGCACCCCAGTTTGTCTGTAGAGTTGATATCCCAGAGACAGAAACGTGTATCCCTCAGCCCCTTCACGGCGGGCACTGCATCTAATTCATCTCTCCTCCCCAGTGCCTGGCACACAGTAGGTGCTCAATATATGTGGGTAGAATTGAGCCTGAGGTTAGTCTCCGCCCATCTACCTGTCCCTTTACCTTTCCCAACTTTCATGGGAAGGAGGGACTGGACCACTTGTTCTTTCCCTGGGGAGCCCTTGATAATTCCCGCTGTCACTGCCATGCAGGCCTCGAGGAGGGGACCTCAACCCCCTTTAACACTGTGGTCAAGTAAACACAGGCCCCTAACCTTTTATTCAATATTCTCTGGCGCAAAGAGAGAGGCATGGACATATGTACATTACCAAAAGTAAGGGATATAGCTAGTGGGAAGCAGCCACATAGCACAGGGAGATCAGCTCGGTGCTTTGTGACCACCTGGAGGGGTGGGATAGGGAGGGTGGGAGGGAGGGAGATGCAAGCGGGAAGAGATGGGAACATATGTATATATATAACTGATTCATTTTGTTGTGAAGCTGAAACTAACATACCATTGTAAAGCAATTATACTCCAATAAAGATGTTAAAAAAAAATATTCTCTAGCACAGATGAGGCTGGGTTTTCAATAAGGCAGTGGAGCAGAGTGGTTAGGGATGTCCCTCTGGAGTCCCACAGACCTGGGTTCAAACCTGCCCTGCCATCTCCTACCTGCATGCCCTGGCACAAGTTCCTTCACTTCTCTGTGCTTCAGTTTCCTCCCCTGTAAACTGAGAATGATAATAGCATCTACCTTGTGGGGTTTTTGTTATGAGATTAGATGAAATAATGAACAGAAAGAGTTTAACATGATGCTGGCACATAGTAAGCACTCAGTAAATGTCCGTTGTTATTATTATGATTAAGGACTTGCATAAAGCAAAGAGGAAATAGCCAAATAACAGCCAAGAATTAGATAATCTAACTTTGGAGTCAGGGTTTACTTTCTGGGACTCACTGCCCCTGTTCTTCCTTCCTCCGAAGGGTGGGCAGCCTGCCCCAGGGGCAAACACCCTCCTTAGACATCATATTGCCTTGAACAGCGTCAAGGCCAGAGAGAAATGGACAGCTCTGCCCCCAGATTTTAGATCTGAGGCCTCAGCAATTATCAAGCTGAATGACACTGGCAATGACTTTTCTTTAAGGAGATCCTCTGCCTACCACAGGATCCCTTTGGGCCTGTGCAGGATAAATCTTTGCTTTCATTCTGCAGAGGTTTGCTGGGCGCTCACTCTGTGTCAGGCATTGTGCCAGGTGTTAAGGACACTGCAGTGGAAGAGACCCAGTTCCTACGTACTTGGAGCCCATAGCGTACAAACTAGGAGCCCTCCAAAGCATCCGTGACCCCCTTTCTCCCTCCCTGTCACCACCTCCTCGCCCCCATCTCCTTTCACCCATCCTGGCCCTTGTCAACTTTCACGGACCACAATCGTCTTGTCTACAAAGTATGAGACAGAATGATGAATACAAACCAGAATTCACTAGTGCAACAAGTCAGGACATGCTAATCACCTTTGGACTTCTCCTTGACAATGGCCTTCAGAAAGACACAATGCTGAGTCCTGGCCCAGCTCCGGGGGGGGGGGGGGGGGGGGGTCGTGGCCATGCTGGAGCCAGAGGTCCCCGGGGGGCCTTCCAGCCAAGGGGCTCTGTACCCCTCCTTAGACTTTAGGCCCTGCCTCAATTCCCCCCACCCCTCGGGGAGAGTAGGCGGGGGGGGGGGGGGGGGGGGGGCGGGGACTCAGGCAGGTTACTTGCCCTCTCTGAGTCCCAGCTTCCTCATTTTCAAAACCAGGGGGGCTGGACATCAGAGTCTCCGAGCGCTTCCTGCTCCAAAACTGCTGAGCCTGAAGCACAGACTTCTGAATCCCCTGGGTCCTGTCAGGTCCCAGTCCTCTGAGATTTTATTTTTGGAAGCTATCAAAAGCCACCTTGTGGTGCCAACTTTGGTGACTAAGGTGGGTGATGGTGCTGAGAGATGCCTGTTTGGTCACAAATGAGGGTGGCTAGAAACTAGCAGGGCAGTTCCTCACTCTGGGACCACACCCTAACACAAGCCCAAAAATAGATCCCATCTGTGTGGCTTACTTGATGGAAAACAGCGTTGAGGTCCTCTGACATCATCATTTCTCTCTGGACCTCAGTGTCCTAGTCTATAAAACAGAGGAAGGGAAGTGTTGGACTCTCCTCTAGACCTAGAATGTCTTTCCAAAGTGCTCAAGTTAGAGGTGTCTTGCTCTTTGATAAAAATCCCTTTATCTAGAGATTTTCTTTATTCTTTAAGGGCCTCCCTGGCCCCCAGACCCTTGAAAGTCCACTCACTCCCTCTCCAGGCAAGCCTCCCACAATTCCATTGCTCAATGCATGGATGTGGCCACCAGGTGGCAATACAGTCCCAGCCTGGAATCCTCAGGCTGAATCATCCTCCAGCAGCTCCACCAAGATCAACAGCCCTCCCTGGGGCCAGGCCCCCCATAGATGTTAGAGACCAAAAAGATTCAGGCCCTGCGCCTGCTCTGCAGCAGGAGCTCCTGAAGCTCACAGGAGTGGTCAACCCTCAGGATCCCTGCAGGGCCTGCCTCTTCCTCTACTTCCAGACCCTCAGTACTGCAATGCTGGGATCTCCTGAGCACAGCATTCAGGACCCTCTGCAATCAGGTCTCACTTCCAGCCTGTGCTTCCAGACCTGAGCCACAGGGATTTAAAGGCAATGAGAGGAGCACTCCACACAAACATTTCTTGTCTGGGCAGCAGATGGTGATGCCAGGAAGAGGGCATCCCTGGACGCAGACTTGAAGGGGACCTGGGCCAGCAGAGGGCCTGGGTCAGCAGTAGCCGGAGGGAGCTGAGGCAGAGGAGGCCTGTAGCTTCCTGTGAAGAACTGAAGAGCCACTTCCTTTAAGCAGATGGCTGTGAGGGAGGGGCAGAAGATTAGAGAGCACGGGCTTCCTGGCTCAGGGGGAGGGGAAGGCCCTAGGAAGACCCTAGGAAGCGGCCCAGGGCAGCCTTCTATTTCCTTTCCCTCTGGGGTCTCCATGAAGCAGACAGTGCAGACAGGCAGGGTCACACCTTTCCCATGTGCTGTGAAGCCACAGAGAGGAGAGTCAGGTTAGGGGCAGTTCATTTGTACAAGACCAGTAAACAAATGGCGCCTTGGTTACTCAAAGAAGTAGGCCCAAAGGCACCTCCAGGCATGCAGGAACCGAGGCTAGACAAAGGCCTTCCCCATGACCTTCCAATGACAGTTCCTTCTTCACTCTGGGGTCTCCGCTCAAATGTCACCTACTCGGAGAAGCCCTCCCTGACCACTACTTTAAAGCAGCTTCCTTGTGTCTCTCTACCACAGTGGTTCCCAAACTTATCCGCTGCTGGGAATTACCTGGGGGCCTCAAAACATACAGATACCTGTGTCTCACCCACAGAGATTGTGATTTAACTGGTCTGGGGTGTAGCCTTGGGCTTTGGAAGTTAAAAAAAAATCTCTGGGTGATTCTAATGTGCAGACAGGCAAGTGTGGGAACCACTGTGCTAGCATATCATCCTGTTTCAATTTTCTGTATAAGGCCAGTAAA